CGGTTAGCCCTTAGCTCACCCACATGCGAGCCGTTGTAGTGAAGAGGTGGTTTTCTGTGGCCCCAGGACGCCCAACTTCATCCCTATGACATTGCTCTGGTATTGCTTTGGATGATGGTCAGCATTATGTTGTAATACCGCCATAGTTTGCGAGTTTGCCATAGGAATCCGAATTGCAGTTCGATGCCCGACAATGCCCAAAGATCATTGCCGTCACATGGTCCGCGATCCTAGTGTTATCTTGCGGTCCGCTTAGGTACCCCAGCATGCTCTTGATCGGTTGCAGAAAGTGAATAGCTTTTTAGAAAACCATTTTGCTCTTTATTTGTTAAATGTACTATCTTCTAATGTCCTCCATCTGTTCTGGAAGAGATGTCCTACAACTATCTAAATTTCAACGACTGATTTGGGACTATTTTTGTATGCCATTTTGCTGACCCCTTATTTTGCCAATGATTCACAAAAATCTCTGTGCCATTCCTATGCCCTTTTCCTAAAGTGAAAAATTTGTTCGTAGCTTAGTTCTTCGTGACGTTTAGTGGAACCTAACTTAGAAGTTTCTGAAAATGGCAAGCTAATCTGGGTTAAGATAAATTTTTCGTCATGCCAACTACCAATTTCACGTGTTTCTTGTGTTGGAAATTTTTACTCACGCGCCAAATAGTATAAAAAAAGTTCTCTGGTTGTTTCTGGTTGCTTAGTCGTATATGCATCTGTGACCTCAAACTGAAAATACTGTTTACTGAGGACCGCACTACCACTATCTTTTGAGGTGAAGTGTAATCCAGAGTAATCGTTGACTCAATTGCTTTATCAGTTTGCTGAGCGCACTCAAATAGACCTTTCTCTGGATAGTATTTCGAGTAGCTGGTTGCAGTTTCACCGTGTTTCTTCATTATGCTTTTGTGGTGAATTAATACCAAGTAAAGTGTAGGAATATGGACTCCCTCGTACAGCGGAAGTGTCATTTGTTTGTTGTCAGTTTAGGGCAAAGAGTTAGTATCAGAATTTAAATGATTAGTATTCATGTTAGAGTTAAAGTTAAGACAAGGAAGTAATTAAACCCTAACATTTAGCACGAGTTACTTGTAGTAGACGATGGGGTTCCATGTTGCCGTGTCCGAAATAATCCTACTCCCTGGTATATGCCACCCCTTCCGCCCTTAACACGTTCTTAAACCGTAACAGGTTCTGTCTAATCACGCCTTTTTTGTCGCAGGGCAAAAGCCTGACTCAAGACCTTTCCGCCGCTCGATCCTGCTTCCGA